GATGATGTTGATGATGCTGTACTGTTCATCCCGCAGCATGACATTGCACCACTGCACACCGCCTGCCGAAACGATCATGTAAAAGTTGTGGAGATGCTGTTGAAGCGCGGTGTTGATGCTAAATCTGAGAGCAACGTCAGTACAGTAGCTCCCTCTTTTCCCTTTTACCCCCTATGATGGTACCTCATGGTGATGATGCTGATGGTGTACATCATGCTGATGCATCATCCCGCAGAATGATACACCACTGCAGATTGCCTCCGTTCACGGTCATGTAGAGATGGTGGAGATGCTGTTGAAGCTCAGTGTTGATGCTGAAGCCAAAAAAAACGTGAGTACAGTACCTCCCTCTCCTCCCCTTTATCCCCCTATAATGGTACACCTGTACCATATGAGGATGATGATGATGGCTGCTGATGCATTATTCCACAGTCTGGCTGGACACCACTGCACACTGCCTGCTATTACGGTCGTGTCAAGGTGGTGGAGATGCTGATGGAGCACGGTGTTGATGCTAAAGCCAAGGACAACGTCAGTACAGTACCTCCCTCCTTCCCCCCTTTACCCCTCTGGCTGCTGCTCCTGCTCCCGCTGCTCGTCGCCTTTGCCCCGTCCCTCCTCCGCTCTACACCCTGCCCACCGTGCGCGTTCGTTATGCCTCTGGCTCTCCCTCTCCCCCCTTTTTGCATCCATGCAATGCCGGTGCTCCCTGTACCCTGCTCTGTTCCCCTTTGGTCTCTCCCAACTGCTGTCCTTGCTCTCCCCTTTTCGGATGTTGTGACTTTACATGTTAATCCGGACACCACTCAACCCTTTGTCATTGCGCCCCTGAAAAAAAAACAAAAACGAATATGTGCCACATGTTTCTGGACATTGACTATCACATAGGACGGCCAAACGCCGCTCCATTCAGTCTGCAAGGCCTTCTCTCCCAGCCAAAAGGCTGTCCAGCAGCTCTTGCGGCACGGTGCCGACCCGGATGCAAGAGACCTCGTAAGCCAATCACTACGATGCCGTACCTTATTTGCTTTTCTGCTGCACCTGCGACTGATACCTGATGACCTGTTGTGGCAGGCGGGTGCACGACCCTTGGATCTGCTCCTAAGCAAGAGTCGCATCGAGCTGGAGGTGGGCCTTTTTTTCATTTCGGTACTGATTGCAGAGACAAGCTCGCTCACCGATGAATTTGTCTTGCTTTATAGCTGGTGGCAGAGCTGTTGGGCGCAACCCAACTGCTTTGCTCCTACCAAACTTCGAATCCCAATGGTGCGAACCTGATTCCCATGTCATTGTCCGCATTGTCTTGTGCTCATCGGATTTCAACGTGGTGCCAGTCCAAGGCTTGATTCATGCGGAGCAGGTTAGACGCCGGCGGTGCGCCGCTGCTGTTCTCTGTAGCGTGGGCTGGCGCGTGGATCCTAGATCGTTCAATATCCAAGATCTACAAACCCTGTGTGACTGCCTGACCGCTCGAACGTTCGCCGCTCAAGCTGCGCCTACGAATTGAATTGCGTGACGCTTGTGATTGGCTTGTCGACCGCTGTTATTGGACTACAAGCATAGACGCACGTCTTCCAGAAGCTACTGGATCACACTGGAAGACACCAGTCCTGCCAATCGTGATCAACTAAAATGGCTGATAATCCTTGACGGCACTCGTCGAGCAGGCTTGTAAAACATTGTGATTGTTCCTGCCACCGAGATACAAGTACAGTCCTGTTGACCGGGAGTGGCATGTTTTTACTTTGTACCTTTAACGTTTCTACTTCCTCTTTTCGCTTTGTAAATTGACCACAGACAGGCAGGTGATATCCTAAAAGCTATGCGAACAGAAAATGAAGTCAATAGGCAGGGGTTTTGTCGTGCGTCAGAAGCTGAACAGCCCAACAACCACCGAAAGAAGCGGGAAACCGCCTCGTCTCCATTCACTATGACATCAAATGATTGATGACAATGCTGTCTCGGTAATGGCGGCTGTGGCGTTGCGCAAGCTGATAACAAGAGCACTGAGCGGTGGGCTTGTTGCGCGGGCGATGGGTATCGGTGAAGCTTGAGATTGTGGCTATTGAATGCGGTACACACGCCTGGTTGTCAAGGTGCTTGGTACAGCCGGGTTAGGGTCAGTTTGTGCAATATCTGTGCAGCCACAAACTTGAAAAGCTACACAGTGCTCTCATATCTCCTTCGCATCATAAACAGGGTGGAACTGCCGAGCTGTGGCTACCCGTGAGACGCGGGCCACCAGGCATGGAAAACTTTGTTGAGGGCTCGCAGCACCTGTTTGGCACGCTTGTTCAATGTCTTGCTGCGCTGGCGCGCTAATTATGATTGTCGGTCACATCCAGAAAAAATTTCGTCAGGTCGGTAGTCTGAGGGCTTTATCTTACCATCGGTCCTCACATCACACCTTTTGGACTTGCAAATGATTGCTCAACCTCAGCGGAAAGGAGGGGCGGACAACAGCGCATTGAAAAGGCGCAGGGAGTTTGAAAGCTGCACGGTTCTCTTGCATGCAGCCTGGGTGAGTTTGGTTCCAGAGTCAATTGTGAGGCGATGCGCACAAAGATGCTTCAAAGGCTTGCTTTGAAATGCCATGGCCATGTTAACATGCTGAGCAAGTACCACTGGAAGAAAAGACTTGGCAAGTTCCCAAACCATCTAGATCGGCTTTCGCATCCTCCAAGTCCAGCATGACATTGCCACAAACTTGAACGTAGCCGCCGACCGTGGCGAGATTGGCCAAGTTGGCGACGCTGGTCAACTTTGGATTACTCTGCAAGGCCAGGCAACAAAGATGACGTTTCCAATTAAGAAAACAAAACCAACGCTGGCAGCGTTTTGCAAAGGTATATCGGGAGTAAAAGCAAAATTCCAGCAAGCGTTCATATCAAGATTGCCCACCGAAATCTTGAGATAGCCTTGAATGGCTGTCAAATTATCCAAACCGACGAGGCTGGTGAGGGCGTCGTTGTCCTACAGAATTTCGTCGACCCATTGTCAGAGCGCGTAAGCTTCATTTTTTGGGCTCGATCATCCAAACCCGCACAGAGAAATTCTGCTGGCGTTCCTCAGTTGTAAACGAGGGTAGAAGCAACATGAAAAACCGCAACAAAGCTTTGATACCGCAAGCGCTTACCGCAATCTTGGCGTGGTTGCCGATCCACATCAGGCTGCCCAAACCAACCAGGTTGGTTAGGCCACCGTGGTTCTACAGCATCGAGGAAAAAAAATACACGAGCACAGACATCAAAAGTTCTTTAAGCCTCGGCCATTCATGTTTAGGCCACACAGATAGGTTCTTGACTTTGCAACAACCTGCAACCTGAGCTTAACTCGAACAAAAGTCATAAATGGCAAACGCATGGTCAAAACCGGGTACCACAGAAGCTTACTGTAAGTTCGAAAGAGCCGCCGATCGACACCAGGCTCTCCAAAGCGAGACTGGGCAGGGCTTCGTTGTACTATAAATGGCAGGACATAGTATTATTCTTTTGCAACCCAAGTCTTTGTCGGGCAAGCCAGAGCAGAAGACAGGAAAGGCGATAAGAACCTACTTTCATTTTGAGGTTATTACCCACTGATGACAGATTGCTCAACCCAATATTGGTCAGAGCGTTGTGGTTCTAAAGAGCCACGTCAAGCAACATAGAAGAGGAATACAGACTCAGCATCGTGATTTACTAGAGTACCTACGTCCCCAAAGAGTTGCCGATTTACGGGCACACCTCAACCCATGCTTTGATATCAGCATTCCCGCGCGAGAGCATCGGTAGTGCTGCAACTCACGTAGATTCTCAAATCATCGTTTATTGAAGTCAAACTGTGTAGACCATCAAAGCTTGTCAGGGCGCCGTTGTACTATGAGGTAACGGCAAGGCCCGAGCGTGAAGAAGTGAGAATAATTGCCGCCATCACCATTGTCAGCATTCCAATCCCAGAAATCAGCTCAGACGCGACACTAATTAACAAAGAGCACAGTTGATCATCGCCTGCGCCGGAACTTACTGCAAATTCGAGGCGACCGTTGACAGTCGTGAGGCTGCTCAATGCCGCGATGCTGGTGAGTGCGGGATTATTCTACCAAGGCACGTCAAGTCGCACAAGCAGATTGAAACAACACAAAAGTCATCGCAATTAACTGCCCCAGTCTTAACCTGTTAACACAGGACGAGCAAGCTTGAGGGTTCACTCGCAAGACACCTATCTTGCTCAAGGCAAACTCACTTGGATCAAAACGTAGCTGCCAACGTATGCTAGGTCGTCTAGACCGGTAAGATTGGCCAGTTTGTTGTTATTTTGCCAGGTCGAGGTTAGAACGCATCGATGGCATTATTTACACCGACACGCAAAGGAGTTATGAGTCCGCAGGTCTTGTGATCTACCCCAATTCCTTCACACGCAAGCTTTTTCTGGCTGGATCCGTGCGTGAGAGTAGCTCAGTGGCGAGTCGGAACCTTTGCTTATAACTAGCTAACCTCGATCCGGACAAATGAACCAGTGGTTGTCACCTTGCCCAAACCGACTAGACTGGGCAGTGCGTCATTGTTCTACAAGTCAACGATAAGTCAGTCCAGAAGACGTCGATCAAGGCATTGCACGGCCCCAGCCCCACATAAACAGTTTTTTTTTGCTGTCAAAACTTTCGTAACCAACAATCGACCCAACAACTTCTCCATAAATCTGCATTTGAAGGTAGGTAGGAAAGCATCTGCGTCAGCGTAGCTCACCTCAAACCTGAGGTAACTTTTAATCTCTGTTAGATTACTCAACCCAGTTAGAGTGGCCAGTTCTCTGTTATCCTATAAAACCACGTCATATTAGAACAATTCCAGCACTGAAACAGCCCATCGAGTGACTCGGGACCATTGCAAGAGCAATGCTTCTCTGAATCTCTAGTTGTTTCTATGTTGTTGTCAAGAATTGCAACCAGGAATGAAGCTACAGTCAGGAGATGCGTGAAACAAACTCACTTTGATCGAGAGGTCAGCAACCGATGTTAAACTGTTCAAGCCATGCAGATTAGACAGCGCGCTATTGTTCTAGAAGTCGACACGTTGCGCCCAGCGTGCCGTGATAAAAAAGATGGGCCACGCACCGCTGGAATACCGAGCACACACAAGAGTATTGCTGCCCTCCTAGCAACTCTCTGACGCCGAAGCTTTTCCACAAGAGCAGGTGCACAGGCTATCAAACGCAGACTCCCAACGGGACTTACTTGGATGGAGATCGTTGATGAAACAGATGTTATTTTGTCCAGACCAGACAGACTTGTCAACAACGCATTGTCCTACGCAATGGGGCAAGGCACGTTTGATGGCGGTGCATTACCAAATACCATCAGGTTACCACGCAGATACCTCACGGCTAAGGTAGTGTGCCTTCCCAAACCTTTACTAGGGAGGGTTGGACAAGCTGGCAATCCAGCGTTCCCTTGGCTCGGCCATACTTTGATCTCAATACTTTCGGCAATAAAAATAAAGTTATCCAAGCCACACAGGCAGCTCAATGCGTTGTTGTTCTACAAACGGACAAGTGGGAAAAAGAAGATCGTCACACGTTGTACAAGGGTTCAAAAATGCCTCGGATACGGTAAATCAGTTGATCAGGACTTACCCAGACAACCAACTCCCCGTGCGCGGTCGTCAGGTTGTGCAGTCCGAAAAAGCTAGTCAGTGCGTTGTTTGCCTACAAAATCACGCCAAGAGGCGACAGCGTACAAAGACGGCAGAATTGTCAACATTACGCTCCAGATCAAAACACACCCGACAGAGGCTCAGACGTTAAAACGCTCTTTTTGGCCCTCCTAAACACCGCCATTTTACCCCTCGCAACAAACCCTTTCGAGCAGAATTGTGCTCGATTCAAAAAAAAAAAAAAAAAAAAAAAAAAAAAAAGAAAAAGGAGAGGAAGCAAGAGTCCAAAATAAGAGAGCTCACTTCAATCTTGAGACGGCCACCAATCTTGGTCAGACGTTCCAAGCCAGCAAAGCTGACCAATGCGTCATTGACCTATGACACCACAAGAGGGACATCAAAGAACGATAATGATAAAACTTACTCACATCAACACAGCCCAAGCATTGAAATATGTTGACTTGATGACATCCGGCTGCTTTCTCAACACACTTGACATGGGCAGAATCACTGGCAAGAGAATACCACAATCCAACGACGAAGAGTCCTATGAAGCTACTCACAAGGATCTCGACGTTGCCTCCAATGGATGTCAGGTTGTTCAGGCCAGCAAGATCAGTCAGCCCGCCGTTGCCCTTTAGCAACACGTTGATGTCAGCGCACGAAAGCGAACAAAAGCTAGCCAATCACATGGACCAGCGTCACGACACCTTCACATGATGGAGTTGTTGAATAGCTCTTTCCCATCACGGCGTGCGTTTAACAAGTCATTGCGACTCGAGTGTAGATGCCAATTTAAAGGCACCGTATGTCTTGTGTGAGTCAAGTGCTTACGTTCAATGTCAGGCAGGTGCCGATGGACGTAATGCTTTGCAAACCGGCGAGACTGGTCAACGCATCGCTACCCTACAATATCACGGATGCAAGAACAAGAAGAATGATTGTCATAAGATAGATAGACAATCAACCCAAAAGCCCAATTGGACACTTTGCAAGTGACAACCCCATCACACCGCAAACGCGGGTATTCTCAGTTCTTTCTTGATCCTATGAGCTCCTTTCTCTCTCTCATGGTATACAAGCCAGCGGAAAAACAAGGAAGTTGCTCGCTTAACTCACAGACACATAAAGGCAGAATTCCAAGGCTGCCAAGTTCTTCAAAGCACTGAGACTGGTAAGCGCAGCATTGTTCTACCAGTCGCAAAAAGCCAAAAAACAACAATACTGATGAGAAAGCTCTAAACCCCGCTTCCTCCATAGAATGTCATGGTTACAAACTGTCTTCCACATGGTCTTGTCCCACCGTGGCTGCAAACGCTAGCACCATTTCAACAGCCATAGGGTCAATGTGACGTGCGTACCCATAAGTCAAGACTACCCATAAACGTCAAGCTCTCCAAGCCGGCAAGGCTAGACAGCACGTCATTATCCTACAAAATACCGTCGAACCAAAGCACAAGATGTAAGCGCTGATCAGAGCAGGGGAGATTGCTTACGCTGGCCTCTTTACTGCCTGTGTGCGCCCGACCTCAATGTGGAACAGCTCCAGTGACGTCAGACTGTCCAAGCCAATGAGGCTGGTCAACATATCGTTGTTCTAAAGCGCGCAACACGTTTGCCAACCGCCACGCAGCGCAATGACAAAATTGATGAACGCTCCAAACAGGCGCCACAATTGCTTGAGTTATTCATTGGCCCGCTTGACTATGCAGCTCAAATTTTAAAAAAAAAAAAAAAAAATCGCCATGAAACGATAAGACCAAGAATTTGTGTGGCGAGTGCCTACCGTGACATAGATGAAAGTCGTTTGCGTCAAATTCTTCAACGCGCTGAGACTGAGCAGTGCTTCATTGTTCTACGTCGTGATGCGCCATTACACCCAAAAGAGCGATGATAAAGTTAAACCAAGGCTATCAGGTTTCTCAGGCTTATCGAGGCTGGTGCTTCATGAGCTCACATGCTAGGCAGCAGGCATGCAAGAAGTCTTCAAGGCGCCAGGAATCGAGTATCTTCCGGAGCTCACCTGAATCGTTAGAGGGCCATTTATCAATGACAAGGCATTCAACCCAGCCAGATTTGACAGGGCGGCATTGTCCTTTGAGAGCACGTCAAGCCACAAGAACGAACAACGATGAGAAACTGTTTAAGCTGCATCTATTGCAGCACTCAAGCTCACATCAACGCAGACACCTTTGTCTTATTCTGGCCCGCAACAACACAACAGCACGGGAACAAGGGTGCCCTCACAGCAACCACCGAGCAGTGCTGTGTCGGAAGCGTACCTCAATACTGAAAGTACCATCAATCGATACCAAACTCTTCAAACCAGTAAGATTGGTCAGAGCGTAGTTATTCTAAAAGTTGCGTTGCCGCCACAAGATCCCTCGTTATTGTGTGCTGCTCAACCAAAAATTAAAAAAAAAACTTGATGAAAAGAAAACCAAAGGCAGATATTCGTGTGCTTTGGGCGCCTACTTTAATCTTGAGTGTGCCGGTCGATGTTAGGCTCTCCAATCCAGCAAGGCTGGTCATGTTCCCATTGTGCTACCGAGCCATGTCAAGCGGCATTGAGTAGGCGAGCCATCTCATTACCAAACAGGAACACCGCTACACGAACGAAACTCTCAGAGGCAAAGGCCTTGCATGGCAAAAAAAGACCGTGTGAGCCAAGCGAGGGCATGTCCAGAACTGACTGTAATCTCGAGGGCGTTCGGAATTGATGTTAAACCATCAAGCCCAGCGAGACTGGTCAGCACTTCGTTCCCCTACACATTTCCGTCGGGAAAACAAGTTGATGAAGAACTGTGCGATTCCACCTCAAAGCCGGGCGCGGGGCAGAGAAGTGACCACAATGCAAGTTGGTACTTTTTTCCTCCAATTACAGCAGACTCTGCTCGGCTGTGCGTCAATTTTTTGCGCTCAAGTACGACTCACATCGATTATAAGTTCGTTGATCGATGCCAGGTTGCTCAAGCCGGCCAAGCTGGTCAAGACTTTGTTCTCCTGGGGTCGTATACAGCCACATCAGGTCAGAAAACGCTTGCGCATGAGCCGCTGCAGCCCGCGGCACTCAGCAGTATTGCGTTTCAAGACTCGCCCTTTGTCGCGCCGCCTTTTCTCACAAAACCCATATTAGGCACCCTGACGAGGAGATGAAATATAACAACACATTCTGACCCTCCCTTCTGGTAGAGAGAGGACGTTACCTGCAATGTCAAATCGCCACCCAAAATGGAGAGATTGCCCATGAAACTCAGGTTTGCCAAAGGCGAGTCCTAGTGCAGGAGGCGCAGGAGGTCGGCGGTCAATGCAGAACAATGGGCTGAGAAAAACTCGGACTGTCTTTTAAAGGCTCGCGACGTTCTTGAAGTGATCTAACAATAATGAAGACATTTTCAGTGATCTCGACCACAGTGCTGAGCTTCTGCACGTCAAATGACTCTGTCAAACTGCATCGTATGAAAAAGATGTTGCCATCAATGCGGGTGACTCCTTCGGGCACGGAGGATAAATTGCAACCAATACTTCCAACATGGGTGATGCCAAGGGAGGCACGCTCAAGCTATCACCAGCAGGCGTTGAAAGGAGCAAAGAGAAGACAGTTGAGGGGTTGCCAAAGCCTCGCAAAGTTACGGTGTAGAGAGCAGGGAAAGAAGTGTCTGCATACTCGCTCAATGCGGTCGGCAAATGATGCGTTGATCAGGGAATCAATGACGTCAATCATGATAGCTTTGCGACAGGCGGCAATTTGTTTGTTGTGAGAGAAGAGGTCGGCTTTGGTGCAGTCACACTGACGACGTAGCCGGTCAACGGTGTGTGCCGTGATGGTGGAAATCATGTCGGTGGATGTCGCACGGTGGGCAGACCCGAGCGAGCCCAAAATGACCGCCATGGCCACGGTGGGCAGAATGCATTGAAGCAGCATGATGGTTGCCAACCAAAGCTGCTTCCCAGTCGCGCAGTGCTCGCTCACGTACAAACCCGCCTGGTGCGATCGCTGCGTTGAGGGCATTGGTGAGAAAAATGCGTCATGGAGCTCGCCGTAATGTTGCGTTGCCAGCTCACCACTTTGGTCATACATGTGAAAAGAAGGAAACCTTGATTGATTGACCGCACGTGCTTGACTGTAAAAGTTTGGTGCACACGGCTTTTTCGGAGCAATGACGTTTGGTTGTCACAAATTGTTTGTTTCACATCATGCTCGAGGTGTGAATGCGCAATCGAGTAACTGCGAGAGCTTTTCGCGACCTGACGACATCTATTATGTCATGTGAAACGACATCGGATGCATAGATAGATTGCTCGCGTACACTGTCCAGTGTCCAACCCTTTACAACTCCATCATCGGATGTATGGATAGATTGCTCGCGTTTTTGTCCATCAGAAAAAATTTCGTTTTGCCTGAGCAATATTAAATTTACAATGCTCTTTCCACACTGGTTTTTGATTTTGGCACGCAGGCAGCGGGCAAATGCAGCCCCGAAGAAACAGCTTGTCGTCGCCAAGAGCGTGATCCACTGGCGAGGCGGATGAATCGCGTCAAAAATGGTGCAGTACGTACTGCCACGTGCCAAGCGCAACATCAAGCACGTTGGATGCACTCTGATGCCAAGACGTGGCATGAAGGCTACCATGCTTCCTGGCAAATGCTGCTTTGCGCCGTGCGCCTCTTACTTGAGACAGCCGAGGCCAAAGCAGTTGCACCCTGAGTCTTGAAGAGCTCAGAGCTGACTGGACGGCCTCTGGCACGTCATGGAAAACGTGTGGACCAGTATGACTTGATTGCAAGACATGCTGATGGTCAGTAAAGCCTCGTGAGGACATCGCCCATTGCCAGACGCCGTCCCGAAGCGCTTTGGGCAATTTTGTTGACAGGGGTACCAAGGCCACATTTCAGGATTGGCTGATGGCAGGTTTTTATCATAGCTTGTCCTTGTCAACAACGTGCATGTGCGCTATTTTGAGCAAGCGCTGACAGCTTGAAGGTGAGCGCTGCCACTTGAACCGCCCTTGCGCCCTTTATGGCTTATTTGGCTTTTGAATGCTAAACATGCGCGCGCCTCCGCAACAGCAAGACAAAAACCGACTGGAAAAAGATGAGGACGCTGTACAGTGTTAAGCAAACATGCGCAATGAATTTGTCAAGGTGTTTGCCTGCGATGCTGCCGACTTTAGGTAGGCCCTGCCGTTTCAAGCGCTGGTCCGGACTTGGCTTTGTTCTTACGGGCTAGTCCTCATGGTGGGATTTGGTCATGACAGCACTTTTGTATGGTCATTTGGGCCGCGTATGCCTGTGGAAGGCATACCTATTTTTGAACGGCATGGGCTGTCCCTTCTGTCAAGCATGCTTTGCTGCAAAAGGCAGTCTGAGGAACCACATCATAAACGAGCATCCAGACGAATCGAAAGCCAAGCAGCCGCCTCAACGCGTCAAGTTGCAAAACCCGGGTCGTGGTGCCGGAGTTTGCTGCGTTAAAGTCATTGTCGAAGCTACCAACGACGCTTCAGCAGCTGATGACAGCAAGAACGAGGAGGAGCTGGAGGTGCAGCAGCGGTTTGACCACCTCATCTCAAACACGCAGACCATGGCGTTAGAGGCCGAGGAGCAACGGTGCCCGTATGGCATTTGCCAGATGCACCCCGTTTACGATAGTGTGGCATGACGCTGGCCTTTAACGAGCTGACGCCAGAACGAATGGCCGAGCTGAGCCACAGTCTCTTGTCGGCGCCATTCAAGTCAGGCACGCACGAGCTATTCTTGACGCCCTACGAGCAGCTGTCGCAGCACGGCCTGGTCACCGCCGTGGTGACACGTTAGTTCAACGACGAAGAATCGCACCATCAGCATCACGCCATGCGCCAGGTAGCCCCCAGCACCGTCAGCAGGTACCTGAGCCTTTGGTGCAATTATTGCTGCAGCTGGAAACCATGCCTACCTCCAAATCGTTGAGCTTTCTGGGCCGGGTGCTTGCCATTCGCGGCCAGGCCGTGATTGCTGCTGCCTTGGCCGTCAAGGCGGCCCTGACTGCTGGAACGAAGGGAGGAGAGCTCGTCGAGCCCCTGACATTTCTATAACTAGCCCTGGTCGAGGTAGAGTTGAACCTGTTTGACAACGACAAGGTGCACTTTGTCAACGTCTTTTTATTGTGCACGGTTGTGTCCAAAAGAAGCGGCATATTGCAAGGCGTCGGGGGGTGGACGACCACGCCGGCTGGGCTTCTCAAGCTGTTTCTGTTGTGCCATGGAAAAAATGAGGTGTGGACCGCGGCTCAAGACTTTAAGCCGTATCTGCAGCCCGGTTGGCTGGCAGGCGAAGCAGTTCGCGTTATGCGTCCAAGCCTCAGTTTAGAAGCACTCTCGAAGCTGTTTGTTACGGGTGAGGTGTCATGGCAGGCAAAGGGGCAGTACGCGTGTTCGTACAGGCCCCGGTTTTACGGCGCTCTGGAATTTGCTTGTATGACTGTTGTAGTTTTGACTTTTCTCAGAACGAAAAAAAAAACAAAAGAAGAAGAAGAAAAGGTGTGTGTGTGTGTGTGTGTGTGTGTGTGTGTGTGTGTGTGTGTGTGTGTGTGTGTGTGTTCTTTGCATTTTTCACCTTTGGCTTTTGACATTTGCTTTTGATCTTCTTCTTGTTCTTTTGTTTCTTATCGATATCGGCATCGGCGGGCTTGCTCGACGTGTCTTGCTTTGTGTTTGCATGGTGACTGATCACATGTGCTTGGTATGCTCTCCTGGTTCGGGCCTTGTGGCGACGCCAGAACGTTTTGATTGAAAGCACTGCTGCCATCATTTTTGCTTTCAGTGAGGCCACTGATCTCGCCTCGCAGTCGTCAGCGTACGCTTGGGCAACCAAGTACGCCGGTCCTCGCAACTGTCAACCAATATCATTGGCCAAAGGTGAGTCATTTTTGCATCAGTCAGAGAAGAGCAAAGAGCCCGCTGACCGGCTGCCATTTTGGGTTGTCAGACGAGTTGTACTTGGAGGGGGCTCATGAGATTGATGGTGGATAGATAGCGGTTTGAAGCGGATGGTGAAGAATAGAGAGAGAGATACCGTTACCATGAGTGATGATGGAAAGCAGCTGTGGGATGCGTGTTATGCATCAGATCCACAAGAGGTGCTGCAGCTGTTGACCAGTTGGGACCAACAACGTTTTCAAGATGCTGCTCAATTCAGAAATGCAGTACGTATGCTGTTTGGTATACTACACTTTGATTGAATGTGTCAGTTGGGTGATATAAAATATATAACACATGAATGCATCATCCCACAGAATGGCTGGACAGCACTGCACGTTGTCTGCCTTGACGGTCATGTCAAGCTGGTGGAGATGCTGTTGAAGCACGGTGCTGATGCTGAAGCCAAGAACTACGTCAGTAAAATACCTTCCTCTTCCTTTTTCCCCTATGATGGTGCACCTGTACAACAAGATGATGATGATGATGCTGTACCTGTACGTCATGCTGATGCATCATCCCACAGCATGACGGCACAGGGCCTGCTATCATGGTCATGCCAAGGTGGTGGAGATGCTGTTGAAGCACGGTGTTGATACAAAAGCCAAGGACAAAGTCAGTACAGTGCCTCCCTCTTTCCCTTTACCCCCCTATGCTGGTATACCTGTATACCTGTACCACATGATGATTATGGTGATGATGCTGTACCTGTACGTCATGCTGATGCATCATCCCACAGCATGGTCAAACCTCGCTGTACTTGGCCTGCCTCGAAAGTCATGACAAGATGTGGAGATGCTGTTGGAGCACGGTGTTGATACAGAAGCCAAGGACAACGTCAGTACAGTGCCTCCCTCTTTCTCCCTCCCCTCGCTCCTGCTCCTGCTGCTCGTCGCCTTTGTCCCGTCCCTATCTCTTCTACACCCTGCCTACCGTGCGCGTCCGTTCTGCCTGTTGCTCTTTGTCTTCTCTCCCGCTATCCCTCTTCTTTCCCCGTTCTCCGTCCGCCCGTTGTCGCTGCTCCCTGCACCCCGCTTTGTTCCATTGTGTCTCCAGCCTGCTTCCTTGTTCTTGATGTTGTGGCTTCAAACCGAGCATGACCATATCCCTTGCCATCACGCCTTTGCCTCTCTCGCGCGCTCAAATGGCTTTCAGTGCCGATTTTACAAATTTACCCTGACGCTCCCCTCCGCCCCTTTAAGAAAAAACTGCAAGTAGGCTCATGTTTCTGAACATTGATGATCCTTATAGGACGGTCACACGCCACTCTATGCAGCCTGCAACGCCTTCTCTGCTAGCCGAAAGGTTGCTCAGCAGCTCTTGAGTCACGGCGCCGACCCGGATGCGATAATCTTGTAAGCCTTTTAACCACGATGGCGTACCTTTGCGCTCTTCTGCTGCACCTGCGATTGATATGTGATGGCCTGCTGTGGCAGGCGGGTGCACGGCCTTTGGATCTGCTCCTTCGCAACATTCGCATCAACCTGGAGGTGGGCTTTTTTTTTATTTTCGGTATTGATTGCAGAGGCAAGCTTGCTTACCGATAAATCTGTTTCACTTTATAGCTCGTCGCAGAGCTATTGTGCGCAACCCGTGCCCCTTGCTCCTACCAAACTTCGAATCACAATGGTGCGAACCTGATTCCCATGTCATTGTCCGCATTGTCTTGTGCTCATCGGATTTCAACGTGGCGCCAGTCCAAGGCTTGATTCAAGCGGAGCAGGCCAGACGCTGGCGGTGCGCTGCTGCTGTTCTCTGTAGTGTCGGCTGGCGCGTGGATCCTCAATTGTTCAATATCCACGACCTACAGACCCTTTGTGACTACCAGGCCGCTCAAACGGCCACCGCTCAAGCTGCACCGACGAATTGAAATATGCGACGCTTGTGGTGAGCTTGTGGATCGCTATGCAAACAGAAAAAAAAGTCAACGGGCCGGGCGGGCTTTGCCAAACGTCTAAAGCAGAGCAGTTCAACAGCCATCGAAAAAGAGCGGAAAACAGCCCTGCCCTCATTCGTCGTGACATCGACTGATGACCATGGTGTCTCAAAATTGGCGGCCGCGGTACTGCGCGAGCTGGTGATGAGAGGGCGGCCCGCCGCAGGAGAAACGGAGTAACTGCGAGCACAAAACGACCAGAAGAAGTAAAAGAAGCACCATCATCATGTATTGGACTACAGGCATCGTCATACGTCCAGAAGCTACTGTATCACTGGAAGACACCAGTCCTGGCGATGATGTTTGATTATCCTTTACGGGGAGAAAGCGTGTCGAACATTGTGGTCGTTCTTACTATCGAGATGTAAGTACGGTCCTGTAGACCAAGGGAGTGGCATTTTGAGCCGGGGCGCTGGATGGCAAAGCCATCCTGCAGGTAGGACGGCACACAACGTCTATGGCCGCACACAGCTCGATCACAGTTGGACTCGGGCGCTTGATGGCTGCGCGCCGAGTTGCGGGTTGCCGCGAGAAAAATGATGGGTGTAGTGTGAGATTGTTCTTTTTTTTTTCTTCTTCGCTCCAACTCTTGTGCCATCGAAACAGGCTGTCCGCGGCAGCAACGATCTCTTCAAACCCACGGTCAGGCAGTGTGGCAATGTGGCAACGTCAATTGGCAGTCTTGCTCACGATGCAGCATTTGTCAATGGCCTTGGGAAGGCAAAGTGGAAGTGCGCGACGGGTACGGCTCCCGGATTTTGGTCTATCTCTGCTTGTGCTAGCCTGCCGCACAGATTACGCCTTGTATCTCCACAATCACCGTCGTCCCTGTTTCCCTGGGTCGATTCAAGGAAAAGGCTGACGTAAAACTTGACTGGCACAATTCCGATTCAGAGATGTATGACGACTTTGGCCGCTTGAAGAAAAATAATGGTGGCCAGAACGAGGACAAACCACTTGTGCACGAGGTGAGTCAATTGACGCTTCCTTTGCCTGGCGCAGTTGTGTCCTTGCTGGCCCAAAGGCCCGGCGTATTCCGTTCATCACGACGGGTACATTTGTTTGCGTGCAACCTAGGTGGTTGGTGAAGAACAGTTTCCAGTTTCCTTTCGCACGAAATTAATAGCGTGTGGTCGTGTAACGTCTTGTGACAAGGCCAGGATCAGTGAAGGCATGACCTGATTGTGGCCTGCATCACAGCAAGGTCTTCAAGACAAGGCTCGCATCTGCCTTGAGCAGACGCACTGGGGGATTACCATGCATGGAAATCGCCACAGTGTTGGTAACCGACCGGCTTGCCTGTGTGCTGCTGAATCAAGAAGCAATTTGAAGAGTAGGGATCAACGCGAAGGCAGGCATCGACGATCAACGCCTCGACAGTCGTCGAGGCATCAAGGAGCATCGCAACCGTGTGCTGGAAGCAGTGCTGAAACTCAGGATTTTGAGAGACCGATGGGCGTCGACAGAGTGCTCGAATGATTGCCTGAACGGCTCATGCTGATGATGATGATGCCACGACACTGCGGCTCGCCCGAGGAGCAGAAACCAAGAGCCAGCGCAATATTTTCTAAAAAAAAAAAAAAAAAAAAAAAAAAAAAAACAAGAAGAAGGACATGAAGCACAGTTATTGTAAGCGCACCTCGCGTTCGTCCGACCAGCTTCTCTGCCATGCCCAACTGGCCGGCGAGCGTGATGAGCGATCACGTGGCTGTTCCTCGACTCTGAAATCAAAGTCATTTCTTCTCGTACTGGTTCGGCCGATACTGTATTCAGATGCGTCATGTAGTTCGTGGCTTGAAAAATGTGTCACAGCCGAACGTGTCGAATCGAACGAGGGGGGCCTAAGCAGCTATAAACATTGGTTTTTGATCCGACTTGCCTTTTGGCTTCTGGCAGAGACATTGAATGATGTGAGTGCCCTGCTAGGATCTGAGCTGTGCTTGCTCTGCGAGGATCAAGGCCTCGACGGTCGGGCTTTTCGACTCCAGAAACGGTCAAATACTTTTGCCAAGGCGGTCATTGGGAGCGACGAAAAGGGCCAATGATGTTGCTCGTTCCCTTTGGATGCGCGAGGCCATGAGCTTAAAGCTGCCGCCAGCAATGGTCGCTCGCGTTTGGGCGGGGGGATAAGATTGATATGACCGGAGGGGGAAGCGGGGTTAGTCAACGGGCTTGTCAAGCCATGGCAGTCAACGAGACAGTACTTCAAGCCCCAGTTTTGTGGTGTTTTGGAAGCTGCTTGTAACAGGCGGGCTGTCATGGCAGGCAAAGGGGCGGCATACGTTGTTTCCGCGCGCTTTGGAATTTGCTTGCATGACTGTTGTTTTCACTTTTTTTTTTTTTTTGAAAGTGAAAAAACACAAAAGGTGTAAACGTGTGTGTGTGTGTGTGTGTTCTTCGCATTTTTCTTGTTCCCTCTTTGGCTTTTGCCATTTGCCTTTGATTTCTTTTTCTTCTTCTTCTTCTTGCTCTCTTTGGCAGCGATCTCGGTCTCGATATCGGCATCGGCGGGCTGCTTGACGTGTCTTGCTGTGTGTGTGTGTGTGTGTGTGTGTGTGTGTGTGTGTGGTGACTGATCGCTTGTGCTTGGTACGGGACTCTCCTGGTCGGGGCCTTGCGGCGACGCCGGATTTTTGATTGAAAGCATTGCTGCCATTTTTTTGCTTTCAGTAAGGCCACTGATCTCGCCTCACAGGCGACAACGTGCGCTGGGCAACCAAGTACACCTGTACTCGCAACTGTCACCCAAGATATCTGGCAAAGGTGAGTCGTTTGATGCACCACGCAGAGAAGAGCGAGGCCCGCTGACCGGCTGCCGTTTTGGAAACTGCACGCGCACGTCGAATCCCAGTCCGAATTCTGGGTTGTCAGACGAGTTGTACTTGAAGGGGGCTCATAAGATTGATGGTAGATAGAGAAGCAATAAAGCGGTTCTGAAGCGGATGGTGAATAGAGAGAGAGATACCGTTACCATGAGTGCTGATGGGGAGCAGTTGTTCAATGCGTGTCGTTCAAAAGATTCACAGAAGGCGCTGCAGCTGTTGACCAGCTGGCACCAACAACGTATTCGCGATGCTGCCCAATACAAAAAAGAGGTTCGTGTGCTGTTTGGTATCATAGGATTATGTTGGTTATTTTTTGAATGTATCGCTGAGCTGAATGTGGTGACGTTATGGTTGGCATTATCCCACAGGATGGCAGAACACCACTGCACTATGCCTGCCTATACGCATTTGATTGTGTCGAGGTGGTGGAGATGCTGTTAAAGCACGGTGCTGATGTCAAAGCTAAGGACAACGTCAGTACAGTACCTCCCTCTTCGCCGCTTGATGGACCTATGATGGTGTACCTGTACCGCCTAATGATAATGATGAGGCTGAACCTGTACGTCATGCCGTTGATGCATCATGCCACAGGTTGGCGATACACCAATGCACTTTGCCTGCTATGGCGGTCACATCGAGGTGGTGGAGATGCTATTCACGCACGGTGCTGATGTCAAAGCCAAGGACAACGTCAGTACAGTATCCCCCTCTCCGCCCCTTGATGGACCTATGATGGTGTACCTGTACCGCCTAATGATAATGATGAGGCTGAACCTGTACGTCATGCCGTTGATGCATCATGCCACAGGTTGGCGATACACCAATGCACTTTGCCTGCTATGGCGGTCACATCGAGGTGGTGGAGATGCTATTCACGCACGGTGCTGATGTCAAAGCCAAGGACAACGTCAGTACAGTATCCCCCTCTCCGCCCCTTGATGGACCTATGATGGTGCACCTGTACCGCATAATGACGATGATGATGTTGTACCTGTACGTCATGCCGTTGATACATCATGCCACAGAGTGACTGGACACCACTGCACTATGCCTGTCGAAACGGTCACGTCAAGGTTGTGGAGATGCTGTTGAAGCACAGTGCTGATTGCTCAAGCCAAGAACAACGTCAGTACAGTACCTCCCTCTTCGCCCCTTGATGGACCTATGATGGTGTACCTGTACCGCCTAATGATGATGATGACGCTGTACTTGTACGTTATGCCGTTGATGCATCATGCCACAGGATTACTCGACACCACTACACTATGCCTGTCAAGACGGTAACGTCGAGGTTGTGGAGATGCTGTTTAAGCACGGTGCTGATGTTAAAGCCAAGGACAACGTCAGTACAGAACCTGCCTCTTCGCCCCTTGATGGACCTATGATGGTGTACCTGTACCGCATAATGACGATGATGATGTTGTACCTGTACGTCATGCCGTTAATGCATCATGCCACAGGATGACTGACACCACTGCACTATGCCTGTCAAGACAGTCACGTCGAGGTTGTGGTGATGCCGTTAAAGCACAGTGCTATTGCTGAAGCCAAGGACAACGTCAGTACAGCACCTCTCTCCTCGCCCCTTGATGGACCTATGATGGCATACCTGTATTGCCTACTGATGATGATGATTTTGTACCTGTACGCCATGCCGTTGATGCATCATGCCACAGATGACTGGACACCACTGCACTATGCCTGTCTATACGGTCACGTCCAGGTTGTGGAGATGCTGTTGAAGCACGGTGCTGATGCTCAAGCCAAGAAGAACGTCAGTACAGTACCTCCCTCTTCGCCCTTTGATGGACCTATGATGGTGTACCTGTACCGCCTAATGATGATGATGACGCTGTACTTGTACGTTATGCCGTTGATGCATCATGCCACAGGATTACTCGACACCACTACACTATGCCTGTCTAAACGGTCACGTCCAGGTGGTGAAGATGCTATTGAAGCACGGTGCTGATGCTCAAGCCAAGAACTACGTCAGTACAGTACCTCCCTCCTCGCCCCTTGATCGACCTAAGATAGTGCACCTGTACCGCTCAATGATGATAATGATTTTGTACCTGTACGTCACGCCGTTGATGCATCATGCTACAG